GGGTTCTAGCCCAGGCTCTTGCGATAGGTGCAAACCCTGACGGCGGAGCTCCAGACGGCTCAAGATGCCCAAGAAAGTGGTAGCTGCTGCTCTGGCAGAGCTCACCAAGTCTAACTGCCGACTTCGCTGACTGCACTACCAATTCTCCAAGACAGCCAGAGGGTTCATCGCAGCCTTCCGCGAGAACAATTGATCCCGTGGGTATCCAAAACACGAAGAAATGCGACGTCAAAGCGAGTAGCAACCGGATGGCTCGAGGCGGGGATTGAAGCAAGCCTGGTGGCGAAAGAAGCATGCGAGCATGGCCGTAAGTGTAGGAGCACGACGATATGTGGAAGGGGTATGTGCAGCACATGTGGCATATCCGTGAATACGTGAATCGCGTGCGATTCGAGCGGGTTGCGAATTAGGCGTGTTGTGTCTGAGCTAGGTGCTCTTATGGTGTAATGGTTAGCACTCTGGACTTTGAATCCAGCGATCCGGGTTCAAATCCCGGTAGGAGCTTGATTTTGTGCGGCGTTGCAGGCATAGAATGTAGCGATGGCGCCAGCTGTCGTGTGGGGCTTTAGGAAAGCGTTTGAAATCTTGTTTGCGGATTGGTGAGTTAGTGCTGGTCTTATGGTGTAATGGTTAGCACTCTGGACTCTGAATCCAGCGATCCGGGTTCAAATCCCGGTAGGACCTCGTTTTGCACCGCTTCTACCGGCCCTACAACGCTTCAGTTGTTGCTGCGTTGCGCACCTGCCACATGCTACAGCCGCGTCACGTTGTGTTGCCGTGGTGTGTTATATCGTGTCCCGGCGATCCGCTGCCGATTTAAGTGGTAGCTGCTGCTCTGGCAGAGCTCACCAAGCCTAACTGCCGACTTCGCTGACTGCAGTACCAATTCTCCAAGACAGCCAGAGGGTTCATCGCAGCCTTCCGCGAGAACAATTGATCCCGTGGGTATCCAAAACACGAAGAAATGCGACGTCAAAGCGAGTAGCAACCGGATGGCTCGAGGCGGGGATTGAAGCAAGCCTGGTGGCGAAAGAAGCATGCGAGCATGGCCGTAAGTGTAGGAGCACGACGATATGTGAAAGGGGTATGTGCAGCACATGTGGCATGTCCATGAATACGTGAATTGCGTGCGATTCGAGCGGGTTGCGGATTGGGCGTGTTGTGACTGAGCTAGGTGCTCTTATGGTGTAATGGTTAGCACTCTGGACTTTGAATCCAGCGATCCGGGTTCAAATCCCGGTAGGAGCTTGATTTTGTGCGGCGTTGCAAGCATAGTA